CAACCCACCTTACAGACGGAACTCATTTTTTCACTACAACCCACCTTACAGACAGAACTCATTTTTACACTACAACCCACCTTACAGACGGAACTCATTTTTTCACTACAACCCACCTTACAGACAGAACTCATTTTTACACTACAACCCACCTTACAGATAGATCTAATTTTTACACCACAACCCACCTTACAGACAGAACTCATTTTTACACTACAACCCACCATACAGACAGAACTCGTTCATTTTTTCAACACATTTGAAGGGTAACAATGATACGGTAAGGCAGAAATGTAAAAAATAAAGATTGGGTACGATTATTTCACTTTTTTTTATATAAGGCGCGGGAAGGCTTCGTTATGCCATCCCCTCCATCTTGGAATGTGTATGTTTATGATAACAATAATACTCAATTAAAATACTCTTTTGTCCCTGTTTTCTACCAGAAACAAGATCGCTCGAGCTTTCTCATGAAAATGATATATTACATTCTATTTTTAATAGATGTGTATCTTGTTCTTAATATAATCTCAATTAACTTACATTCTGGCTTTAATTTGTTTCGTTTATCAGCCCTATAGGAGCCGCTTTACTAGATGTCTTACCCGATGTTAGCATTTTGAAAATTAATATATGTTATGTTTTTAATTAGTTTCACAATGAACGTTATTGCTTCATTAAATATCTGCTTGAACTTTAATATAGGACTAATATTTTCCTTCTTTTTATGATCAATATCATTTAGCTTATATTTAGTAACTGAATATGAACGTTATTTTAAGCTTCAGTGTTTTTTTATTTTTAGATAAATATATAGCACTAACTATAAACTATGATGTCGTACATTCGTTTATTACGTGTTATAGTCATAACATGAAGCGAGTGAAAACTAAACAACGGTTAGGCTTAACCTTCAAATTAAATCATGAAAAGGATTTAAGCTCGTTGTTGTTTAACAAATCAGATGAGTGTTCAACTAAACAACGGTTAGGCTTAACCTTCAAACTAAATTATAAAAAGGATTCGAGTTGTTCTTGTTTATCTAACAAGGCGAGTGTTCAACTAAACAACGGTTAGGCTTAACCTTCAAACTAAATCATAAACATGATTCGAGTTCTTGTTTACTTAACAACGCGAGTGTTCAACTAAACAACGGTTAGGCTTAACCTTCACACTAAATCATAAACAAGATTCGAGTTGCTGTTTAACTAACAAGACGAATGATTAGGCTTAACCTTCAAACTAAATTCTAAACAGGATTCGAGTTGTTCTTGTTTATCTAACAAGGCGAGTGTTCAACTAAACAACGGTTAGGCTTAACCTTCAAACTAAATCATAAACAGGATTCGAATTCTTGTTTATTTAACAACGCGAGCGTTCAACTAAACAACGGTTAGGCTTAACCTTCAAACTAAATCATAAACAAGATTTGAGTTGCTGTTTAACTAACAAGACGAATGATTAGGCTTAACCTTCACACTAAATTATAAACAGGATTAAGGTTCATTGTTATTTAACTAACAAGACAAGTGTTACACTAAACAATGATTAGGCTTAACCTTCAAACTAAATTACAAACCGGAAACAGTTTGTTGTTGTTATTCCGGTAAAACAATAGCTAGGGTTAACCATATTTACTCAACAACATGTCCTTACCATTATCTTGACAATCACTGAGTCCATTGAAATCATGTCTTGAAAGATTGACCTAAAATACATTCAGAACATTATTTTCTGCCTTCTGTACTTTTGCCATGAACATTTCAGAATGTACAATCATAATGTAACTGTAATTTAGAGTTAATAAAAAAGAAAGGTTATGTAAATATTTGAAACAATAACTCGTAATTCTTCTCCAACTTTCAAACTTCATTAAACATAATAGGTTGAAACTTTTACTTTGGTGAAAAACCCACAGTAAACGGAACAAACTGTCAGAAGTCTGATATCTGAGAAACTAGATTCGATACATTCGTGCGTCCTCTTCAGTCTAACGTTGTCTTGTGGCAGGAAAAAACTGGTCAACAAACGCCTACCTACGTGACCACTGAAATTGGAATTCCCTTAAGAACGATGTAGTCACCATCAATGTTAGTCCTACTGTAGTCATCACCAATGTTAGTCCTACTGTAGTCATCATCAATATTAGTCCTACTGTAGTCCTCACCAATGTTAGTCCTACTGTAGTCATCACCAATGTTAGTCTTACTGTAGACATTATCAATGTTAGTCTTACTGTAGTCATTATCAATGTTAGTCTTACTGTAGTCATCATCAGTATTAGTCCTACTGTAGTCATCACCAATGTTAGTCCTACTGTAGTCATCATCAATGTTAGTCCTACCGAAATCTTTAAAGTACGTTCTGGTAAAAACTTTGAACTACTGGATATATGAAAGAAACAGATGAGGCGCTACCTTGGGTATATAAATAGAACTAATAGAATATTGTTCGAGATTCTGATGGGTAAAATCAAAAGAAGAAGAGCGAGAAGCAGACAGAGACTCGCTTAGCTCGATGACATTGTAAAATAGATTACAGACGAGAAGCTTGAATTAGGAAAGTTGGTGCTAGCAGCGAAGAAAATTAGAAGGTGTAGTCCTAAACCCCAGAACTGGAGAGATCATCATGGTTGAAAGCTTTATTTTATTTTATTTTAAGCGCAGAGCTACGTATTGGACTATCTTTGCTCTGCTCACTGCGAGTATCGAAACCAGGATTTTAGGGTTGCAAGTTTGTGTGAAGCGTAAAGCTTCACATTTGGGTATCTGTAATATATCCAACGTGGGTATCGAAACCCGGATTTTAGCTTTTGTGTTTGTTGGCAAGCACAAAGCTACACATTTGACTATTTGTACTCTACCCACTGTTGGTATCGAAACCCGATTTTTAGCGTTATAAGCCATAAGATTTATCGTTGAGCCACCGAAGGGGAGGGTGCTAAAAGCTATGAAATAATGATTGTTAGTTTGTTTGTTTGAAGTTAAGCACAAAGTTACACAATGGGCTATCTGTGTTCTGCCAACCACGGGTATCGAAACCCGGATTCTAGCCTTGTAAGTCCGCAGACATACCGCTGTGCCACTGGGGGGGGGGGGCATGAAATAATGAATGAAAATCGAAAAACACGTCAACTGAAGCGTTAGAAACATGTTTTCTGGTCTATCCGTGTTATGAGAAACATCAAAGACTTCAATGGGATGTAAGTACAGGTTATTCTTTTTGTATCTTGGTGTACGTAGTTGGTCCCTGCAGTCGCCCATTACATAGTTGTATCTTAATCTACACTTTTTTAGTTGGAAAATATCGAACAGTGATTGATTTGTGCAGTACTGGGTCTACATAGTCATATGGTATTTATATGAACATAATACTACTGTCCGTTGTATGTTCATGTAACTACTTCGCAGAGTGCGGATGGATCTTCACCAAACTGGGTATGGAGGTTCGTTAGGGGGAAATATATATACAAATTTTCAGTTTCACATTTTGTGTTTTACAGTTTTTATGGGTCTTTTTTTTTACAATTACGTATGAGGGAAGCAACTTTTCACGTCCAAAGATAACCTTTAATTAATCATGAATTTACATAACTTCCGTCCAGGGGAGGGGTACTCCAGCTTGTAAAACAATGGTTTCCTTTGTTCTCTTTTTTGTTCAAATTAATTTTTGTTTTAAGTAATTAAGAATTAATTTAGAAGGTTCTCTTTTTGTTTCAACAAATTTGCCTCTTATGATAAGCTGATAATTCATTAAGTTTGTTGCGTTTCTCTTTGTTAGCTAATTAGCTAAGAAGTGATTTTTTTTTCGTGCTAAATCAAAACTCACCTGACAACAGCCAACAAGAAGTGATTGAGTTTTCTCTGACGCGCCATATTGGTGTACATCTAGAAAGGTAAACATCAGTTTACGAAAGAATAAATGTAAAATATTGTTAGAAGTTAACATGCAACTTACTGCTGAATATCAAAGGACACTAATACCTTTAAAATCCTTACAAATGTTCGGTAAATCTCGAGAGATAATTGGAGCTATAAAATTCCTATTAATATCAAATGACACTTATGGAATACTTATTACACTGATTACAGCGAGATATGTTATCTTAAGTCGGAAACGAAGAAATGTTAAGTGTCAGTCGTTCCAAAGTCACACATCTACCTGTAGAAATTAAAAGGTACTTCTGGTATGGTTGGCCATCAGATGAGGCCTAGGTTTTCCTGTAGAAATTACTAGGCAGCTCTGATATGGTTGGCCATCAGACAAGGCCTAGGTTTCCTGTAAAAATTACTAGGCATCTCTGGTATGGTTGGCCATCAGACGAGACCTAGCTTTTCCTATAAAAATTACTAGGCAGCTCTGGTATGGTTGGCCATCAGACGAGGTCGAGGTTTTCCTATAGAAATTACTAGGCATCTCTGGTATGGTTGGCCATCAGACGAGACCTAGTTTTTTTCTGTAGAAATTAATAGACAGCTCTGGTAAGATTAGTCATCAGACAAGGCCTAGGTTTTCCAGTATAATCTATAGAAGGAGGGAATGTACGAGAATTTTTAACAACGTAGTTGAATGATGTGATAGCCTGGTAGTTAGAGCACGTATAGAATGTTTATTTATGTGTGTATTTAATTACGTGCGTATGGTAAGATTGTGATGATTGATGATGTTGATGGGTTACGTATTTAACGTGTGTTTTGTTGCACTCCTTCCCCCCTCCCTGCACTTTGTATATATCCCGTTCATACCAGTTATCCATTATAATTGTTCTTAGTATATTACTTAATATTATCAATATTTACACGGTAGTTTATAAAACATCTTTATTTATAAAGTTGTACTTTCAGATATAACTTAGATGCTCCTATAATCATAGTTCCACCCTTCTCTTTGTCTCTCTCTTGGGGGAGGTGACCCATAGTTTGCTTACTACGGACTTATTCGACTACACAAGTCTAATAATTCACAAATTACAATAGGTTATTTATTTTGATACTATTACTATACACTAATCACAGACACACATACGAAAGTAAAATAATTACACCTAGGTGATGTTGATGGCTTACGTATTTAACATGTGTTTTGTTGCACTCCTTCCCCCTCCCTGCACTTTGTATATATCCTGTTCATATATTACTATACACTAATCACAGACACACATACGAAAGTAAAATAATTACACCTAGGTGATGGTAGAGGCTAGTAACCATGACAACGAATCAAATAATTAATTAGATGTTAATACATACCTCGGCATAATGAAGAGCGATTCCTCCCCAAACCAAGTAACTATTGATGATCTGGAGAAATAAAAAAAGTAAGGAAAGGGATTATTAAAAGTATTGTACAGACTATACGTGACTGTTATGTTTATAGCAGTGGCACGTGCTCACCACACGCCACTAGTATATTTATAGCAGCAAATATACCAGCGGCACGTGATTAGGTGTTGAAAGTCAGGTGCTCACCGCACGCGACTGGTATATTTATAGCAGCAAATATACCAGCGGCACGTGATTAGGTGTGTAAGTCACGTGCTCACCACACGCGACTGGTATATTTATAGCAGTGACGTATGATTAGGTGTGGAAAATCACGTGCTCCCCGCACGCGACTGTTATATTTATGGCAGTGACACGTGTTTTACAACTACATTAACTTCAAGTATATTAAATTAGCTACATTATTTACTGGGTTAATTTGTAGTTTTCTCTAAAAAAAGATAGCTTAATTTGGATGGTGACATAGCAACTGTTTATATATATATAAAAAAAAAGATCGTTAGCTGATGAAATATTGGTTTTGTTTTTTACCTCCTCGTCTTCTTCGTAAAACGGTCCTTCTTCGGAGTTCCGGTATAATTCAAGAACCCCTTTTTTAAAATGAAAGAAAAATACAGACTTATTTACTGATTCTATCTACATATCTTTGTTACAAACAAAGAAAACAAGACCCCGGATGGAAATAAGTTCAAATCTATGAAAGAGAGGCCAATCTCTTATCTCGTCTCTGATGTCACATCAAATTGGAATTACAACATTGATACTACGGAATGCCATATAGGTTTGATTCTATTCCTTTCAACATATTACATAATTGGTGAAAAACTCATTTTAAGTTAATACCAACATCGTATAGAATTGGTTTTTACTCACCGGTTAATTCCCCGTCAGGTTGTTGAATTGGATGTGCCAAGATGAAAGCTGCCAAATTCGGGTCGACCATCGCGCCATCTGGAAATCTGGGATCCTACAGAGGGCCGAGATTCAATAAGACCATAATCAATCTTTTAAAGTAGTTTTGACGATGAGTTTTTCTTTCTACACTTCAAAAATAAAACCTGATGTTTTTAAGATAATGTAAAATCAATAAAAAAAAACATACACTACAGTTAACAACTGGTAAAGACTAATAATGGCTGGAGACGGCTTAAATGGGTAATGAAGAAAAACTTTAATATAAGTACCTGAAGTATCAGGTACCTGATGATGACAAAACCTTGTCGAAACGTTGTACATTTGCTGTCATGTTAAACTTATATTAAAGTTTT